AAACTTCTTTTGCACCGATTGCAACAAATTTCTTACTAAGAAAACGCTTTTTAAAAGCGCATRAATATGTAATACATAATATATATTTATATTTGTTTATATAGCTGCCGCTCTAATCACACACGAAACTTCATCTAGGCTTTAGCTTTAGTTGACTTTATATATACATTTATTATTATATATAGTTAGATGTGTGCCATTTGTAATTCTATGTACTATATCCTATGATGCGCGTATATCACATCTAGACCACCAGCGACAGCCAGGCTCCAATCAAGCAGAATCCGCCGATAGTGGCGTAGTGCTGCAGTCGCTTATTACCAGTCAGAGCGCGATAATACATGCAGCCAGAAAAGAGGACGGTGCCCATGGTCATCAAGACTCCAGTCTGCGGAATAGTAAGCATAATTCACATATTTTTAAGCATACGAAAAGAAACCAAACAAAACAGAAAAAAAGGCAACAGAAATAAACAAAAATTATTTATGCCGCATTTAAGTGTTAGACAATAATAATGTATGGCCTGCAAATTTTGATGTTAGCTTTAGTTGTTTGCTTTGAGAACAAACAAAATGAAACAAAACAAACAAATGGAACCCAAAGGCAAGCTCTACGATTTACTTATCGCATAAGGCTGAAAACAAAATTATGAACAAAGAAAAATTTAAGCAGCGTTATTGAAGCTGACTTTTGGTACATTTTTTAAACAAAAGAAATTCAAGAGATGAATCTAGTCTTAAGTCTAAAAACCAAATACATATTTCCTGTACCCTCAAAACCCTATACCATATCAGATCTGAACCTCTCATATCATCTATAATAACAAAGAAAACGATGTTAAATTTAAATGTTAGCAATTATCGTATACAAGTTTCGTAATGTGGTATTGAAATTACTTTTAAGCTGCAATTAGTGGTTGTTGAACATTTAGCTTTAGCTTTGAAGAGACAAGAAACAAAAATGATATTTCATATACAATCTGAACTTCTTATAGATCGTAACGCTTAGCAAATATCAAACTTTACTCATGGTTCAATTAGCCTCTTTATATTTCTATTTTCATTTCCTTAATTAAGCGAGTGTGTCAATTACATACACATTTACATGAAATACATATTGATATACACATAAATATTGAACAAAATCAAAAATCATTCAAAGAGTAACGCGAGTTGTTGTAAATTCCGTTCAAAGATTTAACTTTTACAAATGACAAAATAACTGAAAAGCTTTATGATGCTCAATAAACTGTAAAGAAATGGAATTGCCTTCTTTATTTATACGCTCCGAGTAGACGATGGGAATAGGATGGAACGTGACTTTAAAGTGCATAAGTATATACTATTTATAATATATATTTATGTTGGTGATACAAGATGTCCAAGGAAATATGTATGAAAGTATGGGGGCCGGACACTTATAGAATTCCCTACCAGTCTCTAAAGATTTCTAAGAAGGGGAAGCCCCCACAATTCATGTATATCTTCAAATGATTACGATTACCCACAATTAAACTAGCTCTAACCCTCTCTATTTCTGTATTTGTATTTACTTGTTACAGTGAATCAAATTACTCTCTAACACACACAACAACAACAAAAAGTTCGTCTAGGGTATATAAACGTCAAATACTTACAAAAACTGGATAGTGAGCCAAAGGCATGCACATGAGCGCAAAGGAGTGTAGGAAATGTATGCGATTGGCAACATCAGCAAATGCCTGCGAGTCTTGCTGTACCTTGGGATCACTGACATCCTTTAGAAAATACTTGCAATAGGCGCCCATAAAAATTGCCGATGCACCGCCCAAGCCGGCAATGCGAACAAAATTATAGTGACAGCCGACTATGCGATGCATCGAAACATTCAAAGGTTGAATCTGCATTGGGACTCCCATCGGATGATCGGTGGTAACCATCTTCTTAGGGCGCAGACCCTGCAATACAAATATGAAACATTGTGCCATAAAATGAAAAACAGTTACGATGTGATGTACTTACTATAGCTCGTAGTATTGAAGACGATGAATTGATTAGTGCGCGACTGACAGGATTGCCAAGCGTAATATATTCGAAAGTGTCAGCGACCGACATATTTTTTTAACTAGTTAATGTTTAGACCAATATGAGGATATTTTGGTGCTGCAATTGGTTTGCGTATATATTATTGTGCTTGGTGCCAGTGGATGAGTACGGTATGGCGTTGCCAGTATGGCTCAGTGCGCGAATAACTTTTTATCGATATTCGATTGCATCTGAAATGTTATTGTAAATGTAAATTTCAGTGTTATGTCGATATATTTTTAAAAACGAAATGGGTCCTAAAGTGAAATGTATACGATTTTCAATGAATTTGAATATACAACTACTTGCTTTGGCATCCAACTAAATACATATACATATGCTTTAAAAAACAACATTTAGCCAGTGTGACCGTAAGTTGCACTCTTTTAATAATAAAGACGGTTACTTATAAAGATGAATATATTTTCAGCTTTCAAAAAATATGTAACAAATATTAGTTTATTTTATTTTTGCAATTGCATACGACTATTAAAACTAAATATGACTATGTAGCCGTTGGTGCTAGACCTTTGAATCCGCGCGCCAGTAAGAAATGCTCCGCAGAATCGCCACGACTAGCGCGTGGTTTTACCCTTTTAACTTTTTCGTAATAGCACAAAATATCGCGTTCCAGTTTGGGTACATCGCCATTGTCCCAGATTTTTACAACTAAATTGGCCTGCGGTGCCGACATTGCAAGTGCAAACCTGAGTACTTCATAGCACAGATTTGTAATACTCTCCTGGTCAAGCATACGCACGCCTGTTGCATTGGGTGCCATGTCCGAGAGAACGCAGTTGACTGAGCGACCAGCTAGCGACTCTCGTAAACGTTGCTGAGCAAGAGGGCTAGTAAAATCCATTCCTCCAAATATTGTCGCTCCTGGCACTGCGTGGAAATGAAGAAGATCTATACTATATACAGCACCCCTCGGCATACGCTCCGTTTTGCCATTTGCATTGGTTCGCTCGGCAGCTACTTGTGTCCAACTACCTGGCGCGGCTCCACAGTCCAACACTACATCGCCAGGTTTAAGAATCTTGTATTTATCATCCATTTCAAGAAGCTTGAAAGCGCTTCGACATCGGAAATTTAACATGCGCGCCTTTTCCACATACGGGTCCGCCAGCTGCCGTGTTAACCAATCCTGAGAGCTTTTGCTTTTACCCTTAAGGTTGTTGGGCTGTTGTTTGGCGAATTGCGCTGCATTATTTGTATGTAGGAACCGTTTAACTAATAAATTCCATGAGCTGACTACCGGTTGTCGCATTGTGCAACAATAAACAAAACAGCTGTTGCAGTGAGCACTGAAGTTGGCATATTGTAAGGTATTTAGTATATTTCGCATTTTCGGTATTTTCAATTTGACTAGTTCCATGCAAAACTTGTTATGCACAGTTGACGCGCTAAATGTAGGTGGTATGTCTCTGCTTATTTAATATGAATATGTGAAGAAAACCTAATTATTATCCTCAAAAAAGTTATAAGCTAAAATATATTTTAGGTGCTGAGCCAGTTCAATGTATCAGTATGAACGTTCATTAGATCTGTTAATGGTAACCAGTGGGACCCAGTTCAATTGAGTTTTCTGAACAATTTTCTTATTCATATGCTCGCGAACAGTACAACTCTACGCAACAATGACGAATGAATGAAATACGCAGTAAATGTAAAATAATGTAATTGTGTGTGTATAGTGTCAAATTAAAGAAAAGAAAAAAAAATTGTGAAAATATGATACATTCAACGAACTGCAAGTAATTGCAACTGCATTAGTTATCAAACGCAAAATATACATATTGTTTCGCTGTGTTGTTCGCGCGATGTTAACAACAACAAGAATAGTAAAGTCGATGCCATATAGATTTTCGAAAATGAAATACTTCGTTTGTTGTTGCGCGTTTATTTTTCTGTTGAGCAGCGTTATTGCATCAGCAGCAAAACAATCGACAGGTACAAACGCCGACTCAGCAGAAGTTGTGAGCAGTGCCGAAGAAAAAACGGTAAGAGGAGGCAATAAGCATAATGCGGGCATTGTAGTGCAGCTAATCAAATAAATAGTTGGTGCCAATTAATGAAATGGTTCTCCGTTTTCCTACTATAGGATTGCACAGACCTTGCCCGCGACGAGGAGGCATTGATGGTATTCTCCACGCTGGGTGGCGGGCTAACAGCAATCGATCCGATAACCAGCGAAATACGCTGGACAATAGCAGATGGTAATTACACGCACAGGCATATGTATAAGTATAATTAAGTGACACACTCACAGGAGACCTTTACCGTTTCAAAGTTATAGTTGTGTTTGCAATGCAATCGTAAAAAGTAACCTCATTTTACATCGTCTGTCACTCTCTTTCGCTTTACGAATGTGTGTGAGATATTAGGCATATGGCAACTCTCCCACTCTCCACAACCTACTCACCGGCCACGCCACGACCCCAAATGCAGTAAAAATAAAGAAAATCTGTTGCATTTTAAGGCATTTTGCCATAATTGCGGAAAGTGCAGCATAAAGAAAAGTGAATTACTCTTCGATGAGCTCATTGTGCGAAAACAACAAAATTTGTATGTATGTGCATATGCACATGTGTGCGTATGAATGCTTAGATAGAAAACATACTATATGCCAGAGCAGTAACAACCGGCGACGTTGCTGTTGCTTTACTCTAATTACACTTTTGCTCTCGCAATGCGCCGTTATATTGTTTTGTATTATTGTTTTCAACTGATAACGGAACACACGATGTATGTATGCAGTCGTGAACATGCGTCTGTATGGGCGGGCGTGTGTATGTGGGTACATGCGTAATCTAGACGAGCCACGCTCACAACATAGTTATATTTGTGTATGTGTTTGTAGTTCTTTTAATTAAACTGCCAACGCTACGCAATTGCTGTTATTAAAAACGTTTCCGAATTTCTACTTTTTACTTAGTGTGTACTGCTTGCATCCAGGTGGCTTAGTCTGTCAGTAATGCATCCCATACATACATACATACATACACTAGCTTAACGCAGTTTCATGGCTGGTTGTTTATTTATTTGACATCGAAAAAATACATATCATTATGTTTGAGATTCTATAAATAGTTATTTAATATTTCTTGTTTCTCTACCGATTGCGTGACAGAATTTGCATTATCAAATTTGTTGTGTAGCCCAACTGTCGCGTCCGTTTGTTATCTTGCCAAATCCTAACAATTATTTATTATTTACTCCACAATCATCATCCGGTGTACAGCTGAAAAAGATACGCCCCCAGAAAGATGGCTTGTTGCGATAAGTCTATAAAAATATGAGTTTACCAGACTATAGCAACATGTGTAGGTATATACATACATATAAACTAAATATAGTATTACTCTATACTATGTATTAAAAATTGAGAATTTAACGCGGTATTTTTCAATTTCTTTTAATTTCATAGAATTTATACTACTTTTGTGGAAAAAACAAACACATGTGGAGAACATCAGAGCTCGATTTTGCTAGCAAGCGAGTTCTGGTATATTAATTATTGAATGGTTGATTATAAATGGAACTGCATACATTATAAACATGATATGTAATGAGTTTATAAATGCTATAGAAAGATTAGTCTTGCTTTATTATAATCACTCAGCCATAGCAAATGCGCCAAGTGCCATAGTGTAAACAGTGAAGCATGGTGTAGAGGCGAGGACCAGGACTACAGGTGTACATTCAATAGAGCTTTTATTATATTTATAAATATTATTTTTATTGATTGATTGTAGTAGATATGACTACTGACTATTACCTCATCACATGCTCTAAGCGGAGCGGTATTTTCGGTTAGAATCTAGTTGCTAATTAGAGTGCCCGGCGAGCCGAGTTAAATGACCTGACGAGCAGAAATGGTTGCCACTAAGTAAAGCTGTCCCTACATGGTACACCTTTCTCTGCTCTCTTTCTCTCTCTCTTCTCACTCCGCCTCCCGCTCTGCTTCCCAAGAATGTATTTTCATTAATTATCATCGGTCTGTTGTGGGTTATTTTGGTGATAAGACTCAGCACGAAGAACGCGTGCACTACCGAGAGTTGATAAAGCCAAACGTCGCTTTTGTTATGCGCTCGCTTGTTGCCGACTACCCACAACAAGTCCACTTTTCGAAGAACTACAACAATTGTGCCGTATTATTATACTGTAATAACACATTTTCGATGATTGCAGGGCGTTAGAGGCTTCCACATAGTTTGACAAACGATATTAGATTTGTTTTTGTCACAGGCAATAACTCACACTTTGACATACGCTTAACAGTTACTTTTTTAATTGCTTAAGTTGGTTAAGAGTTTTTCCTTTAAGTAATTGTAACCCCTCTTACACCTTTCTTTGAAAATGCTCTACCTTCCTTATGATTGCAACTCTGAATTATCTTAAAATTCTTCATGATGCTATATATACTTATATACAAATATATATGCAGAGATAAAGATAAAGCCACATGCACTGGCCATAGCAAATATCTGCTCAAGTGTTTTGTCATTTCTTATATCAATAAAAGAGATATGATACGAATGTTTAAATTGACTTCAACTCTCTCGCTGCTTTATTTATATGATTAAATAACTTGAATAAATATATATGTATTATCTGTTTCAGATCCGCCTATTGTAGCGGAACCTCAGCAAAATGTCCAGGTGCCACATTATCTGCCTGATCCTAGAGATGGCAGCATCTATCAGCTTGGACAAATGGGCAGTCTGAAGAAGCTGCCTTATACTATACCGCAGTTGGTGGCCAATGCACCGTGTCGCTCATCCGATGGCATTCTGTACTCGGGCAAGAAGAGTGACACTTGGTACATGGTCGATCCGAAGACGGGCAGGCGTGAGAAGGTTATGGGCTTTGGCGACCCTCAAATGGATGGCAGTGACGCCGAGCAGATTGGCTGGGCCACATCGCGCGCCATTTACCTGGGACGCACACAGTACACCGTCATGATGTACGACAGCCAGGCCAAGGATAAGAATGCCAAGCCCTGGAACATTACCTTTTATGACTACAATGCGCTCAGCACGCCACCAGAGCTGACCAAGGAATATGGTAAATATTCGTACTATTTAATATTGGTAAAGTTCTTAATACGATTTCGTATATCTATAGAATACATTCACTTGACTACCACTAGCAATGGCCAAATTGTTACCCTCGATCGGAAGCAGGGCAAATTTTTATGGCAACGTGATCTGAAAAGTCCCGTTGTAGCTGCTTTTCTGCTGGGTCCCGATGGGCTGCTCAGTGTGCCCTTTACGACGGTCTCCGATGAGGCTTATGACGCCATTCTGGAAGAATCGAAGACGGGCAATGTAAACACAGTTAAACTATTGTAAGCAATGTTCACTCTTACAATTGATCTGTCCAATATACTTACGCCCCATCTCTTTTGCAGTCAATCTTTGTACGTTGGCGAACATCAGCGTGGCCTCTATGCTCTGCCGTCGTTGGTAAATAAGAATACGCCACGCATATCTGCGACGCCGCCCATCAAATTGCTTGATGGACCAGCTGTGGAGTTAGACAATAAAAAGGGTAATGATCCACGCACCGTTTACATCAACGATGTGCTGCAAGAAAATCCTGGCATTATGCTGGGACACTACAACATGCCCAATGAGGTCAACCAGGGCAATTTGCACTTATCGCCAACTCCCTCGGCTAGCAAAGATGTGCACAGCTTGGCCACCATACATAACTATAACGATGGCTACGGCCTGCTAGCCAATAATGAAAAGAATGCTGCGGATATTGGAGTGCAAACAGATCCGAACTTGGTTGAGATTAGCATGGACTCGGCGCGCTCGAACACCATCAATCGTACCAAGACCATCATTTTGGCCAACAGCAACAAGGTGCAGGCGTTTATTAACGAATGGTTCATGGATCATCCCAGTGGCAAGGTGCACCAAATACTGATTGTAATTGTCCTAGGCATGGTTGCGCTCTTCTGGTACACATGCAGCACCATGCGTGAGCTGCAGAAGCAAAGCGAGAATGGATCCAAGACAATGGCCCAGCAGGCTGGGAATAACAGCAACAATGGCAGCACGGGAAGCAACGGCAGCAACATCAGTACTCAAGATTTACTTGATCTGGGCAATGGATATGTGCGTGTCGGCAAGATAAGCTTCAATTCTAATGAAGTCTTGGGCAAAGGTTGCGAGGGTACCTTTGTCTTTAAGGGCAGCTTCGAGGAGCGTTTCGTGGCTGTGAAGCGTTTGCTCCCGGAGTGCTTCACTTTTGCTGATCGCGAGGTGGCCTTGCTACGCGAATCGGATGCGCACGAGAATGTGGTGCGTTACTTTTGCACAGAACAGGATCGTCAGTTTCGGTATATAGCCGTGGAGCTTTGTAACGCCACCCTGCAGGATTACACCGAGGGCGATCGTGCTATCGAACTGCGCCAGCATATTGATATTTGGCAAGTTCTCGTTCAAGCAGCTGCTGGACTGAGTCATCTACATTCACTAGATATCGGTTAGTTGTACTGATAATTCGATATTATATTATTCGTTATTTCAATGATTTTCATTTCCCTACCAGTTCATCGCGATATAAAACCACAGAACGTACTGTTGTCGCTGCCCGATCCTAAGGGCAAAGTGCGCGTTATGATTTCGGACTTTGGACTGTGCAAGAAACTCAACTTTGGACGCACCAGTTTTTCGCGTCGCTCAGGCGTTACGGGCACCGATGGCTGGATAGCCCCAGAGATGATGCGTGCTCAGCGAACCGTAAGTCCTGTTGCATATACAGATTTCAAATGAATTCTGATGCATTTTATTGCTTGCAGACCACGGCGGTGGACATTTTCTCGCTGGGCTGTGTCTACTACTATGTGTTGACCGGTGGACATCATGCCTTTGGCGACACTCTCAAGCGTCAGGCAAATATACTGTCGCACGAATATAACTTGTCCAAGCTGCGCGCTGAAGATGACGCTGAGCATAGCAAAATTGTAAGTCACGATTAGTATCAACTAAGAGACATACTCATATTGAAATGCTTTGCATAGGTACTGGCGGAACAGCTTATATCAGATATGATACATAAGGATCCTCAAGCGCGACCGCCGGCGCGCTGCATTGGCAATCATCCACTCTTCTGGGATGAGCCAAAGATGCTCAGCTTTCTGCAGGATGTTAGCGATCGTGTGGAGAAGCTTCAATTTCATACCGAGCCACTCAAATCGTTGGAGAAGAATGGACGTATTGTTGTTCTGGACGATTGGAACATGCATTTGGATCCATTGATAACAGATGACTTGAGAAAATATCGAGGATACATGGGCGCCAGTGTGCGAGACTTATTGCGCGCTCTGCGTAATAAAAAACATCACTACCACGAGCTGACGCTCGAGGCACAGCAGCTGCTTGGCTGTATACCACACGAGTTCACTAACTACTGGGTGGAACGCTTTCCGCAGCTCATCTCGCATGCTTATCATGCATTCAGTATTTGCTCGAATGAGCCCATCTTTAAGCCCTACTACAGCGTCGGTTACCACTTTTCGCGTCCCTGGTACTTTGATGCCGACGATGCAATGTTTCCCATGCTAATGCGTGATCCCAAACCGCTGCCCAAAGTAGGTAGTCCCAAAAAAACGCCGCCCGCGCCACAATCATCTCTAAACCAGCAGCAGATTAAGCAACGTAAGGGTGCTTACAACTTTCGTAAAATACCAAATGAGGAGATGATGCCCGGTGTGGGACTGCAACGCAATCTAGAGACGGATCCGCAGCCACTCGACGCAGATATTGGCAAGCGCGATGTTTACGCCAATTTCAAGTTTAGACGTTCCAAGGCAAGTAATAGAAATTATGCAGCAGGGACCAAGGAGCAGGAGAAGGAAAAGTTTGTTAGCTGGACACTACCGTCGACTACGACGGATTAGAATTAAAACAAAGCACTTGACTAGATAAACTTTTATTATATTTAGTAATATTGATTTTAGTATAATTAGTAATAATTATTATTATTTAATTGTGCAATGCGACTATTCCAAAACAATTTCCCGATTTCATTTTAGATTTCTTATAACCAAATCAATGAAAATCGTACTGATTCTAAAATTCATACGAAAGATAAAAGCTAAA